CCCTTTGAGTAGCAGCAAAAGAGTTAGAGTCACTGTGATGTCCTCCCCAGCAGGCTCACCTGGCTTCTTCACCTGCTGACAGAGGGGAAACCTCAAAGTACAAGGACTTTTCCAGCTTCTGCTGTTTCTGTTGGTCAGAGCCAGTCAAGGCCAACTTGGGAGAGAAGTACTCAAGGGCATGAACATATGATTTAGGGCTCATTACTCTATCAATCTACCACATACATAAAATCCTGTACATGACCTGAAATTTGTGGAGGAGGAAAAAAAGAGATAATTTTCATACTACTTTAAACTTGTACCTCATTTCTGGATCTGGTCACTGGATGATTATATTTTTACTAGTGGCCTGGTGCATAAAATTCGTGCTGGGGGGGGGGTGTCCCTCAGCCAGGCCTGCACCCTCTCCAATCCGGGACCCCTCAAAGCATGTCCAACTGCCGGTTTAGGGGATTGGGCCTAAACCGGCAGTCGGACATCCCTCTTGCAATCTGGGACCGCTGGTTCCTAACCACTCACCTGCCTGCCTGCCTGATCACCCCCAACTGCCCCCGCTGTCGACCTGCTCACCCCCAACCACTCACCCACTCCTGGCCTGATTGCCCCTAACCACCTCTGCCTCAGCCCCGCCACCATTACTTTGTCCAGAAGGTCTCCCGGAAGGTCTCCCGGTCTAATTAGCATATTATCCTTTTATTAGTATAGATTAAGCCTTCTAATTACTTCATAAATCACATTATCACTGCATTTGGGGGGTTACTTCTGTTGAAGATATTTATTAAATTTAAACATTGACAACACACACACACACACACACACACATACACACACACACCTGCCTGACAAGTATGCTCATTGGTTGAGCATCGACCTATGAACCAGGAGGTCACAGTTTGATTCCTGGTCAGAGCACATGCCCAGTTTGTGGGCTCAATCCCCAGTGTGGGGCATGCAGGAGGCAGCCAATCAATGATTCTCTCTCACCATTTATGTTTCTGTCTCTCCCTTCCTCTCTGAAACCAATAAAAATATATTTAAAAAACAACAACACACAAACCAACAACAACAAAAAAGAATTGGTGGAAATTCATTTCAGCTCAGGGCATAGGCCTGGTTTATCTCAAGGTATTCCATTCTCTTTGCTTAGTGATTAGTTCAAGGAAGGGCTGAGGTTGCAATTTGGGCCAATGAGACAGAGAAGAGTTTTACCAGAGGCTTCAAGAATTTGTTTTCTCTCCTGGGAACCACAACAGCCATCCTTTCTCACCCTCCTCCTGGATCTTAATGGGGAGGCATAGAGCACCCATGCTGTGGGTAGCCATCCTGACTCAAGAGAGAAGATACTAGTAGCCATGGAGTGACACCAACACCAGATGGCAGGGCAGAGGGAAGGAAGGAATCTGGGTCTTCAGCATTATTGAGCTTCCAGATAAACCAGTCCTCAGCCTGCTCTTCCTGTGAAATTTCCAAGGATGAACCAATGAACTTCCTCATTCCCTAAGCCAGTTTTGGTCAGATTTGGTACTTGTAGCTGTTAGCATTCCACCTCCCATGACCACTGTTTGGGAGGTACTGTACCAGAGCTGTGGTGCGTCAATATAGCACGTGGCCTAATGTGGAGCACAGGGTAGAGTGTTCACATCTCACTTTCCACCTGGACATCTAGCCCAGAAGGCCTCCTACTCTCTCTGCCAAGGGGCTTGTTCAAAGTATCTTGCCAGAGTCCACTCGCACAACAAATATTTGAGTGCCTGCTGTGCACACAGAAGCCAGATTACGCTTTCGACAACAACACTCTTGGCCTGGTCCTAACCTATTCAAAAATGCACGGTGGCTTCCCTGACTTTACAATGAAGTTCTGGCCAGTGAGCCTGACACTCAAAGCCCTGTGAAAGTTGACCTCACCTTCTAGTCTCAGCTCCCCCCTGAGCTCTCTACTGTAGGAGGACTCATCACCTGTCTTCTGAACACTTCATGATGTTCCATCTTGGACCTTTCCCTCTCATCCTCCCAACCTCCAAAGCTGAGGATGGCAATCCCACCCCCATCCAACCTTGAAACTGTCTCTTCGCTTGGTTTTACTTTAACACTTGACTCCCCCATGAGCATCATCCTTTGACATTATATCAAGGAACTCATATGCTCTTTCCTATCAATAGATGAACTGCATCCCAAGGTTGGCCTGCTCAGTGTATTTTAACAAGTAACTTTTTACTATGATGATCTGTATGCTTGTGCAGCCATTCATTAGTTCATTTATTGATCACCTGCTATGAGCCAGTCCCACATACTATATCCCGGGGACACAACGAGGTCCCTACCCTCTACTAACTCACTTCTCAAGAGAAAGACAGTTATTACAATGACATAATGACTGTATTTGAGGTAAGGGAGCATGGTGGGGTGGGGGCAACTAGTTCTGATTTCCCACCTAGAGAAGAGAGGAACAGCGTTCCAGGCAAAGGGAACAGTGCTACAAGGCAAGATGGTGGTTGTGAGGAAAAGGGTGGAAGTTTGTTTGGCTGGGGTCTTAGGCTGCAGCACTTCTCAGACTTCAATGGGCACACAAATCACCAGGGGGCTTCTGCAGGCCTGGGCTGGGGCTGATGTTCTGCATTTGTAGAGAGATCCCTTGAGTTGCAAGGTCTGGGAGGGCTAAGACAGTTCCTGGTGGGTACTCTCTTCTGCTTTCCTTCAAAAAAGACATGAATGCTATTTGTTTCAAGTGAGTGTCTCCTAGAGGGAAATAGGATGTGTGTCTTGGGTTCCAGGGCAGACCTAATATTTAATATTGGCCCTTACATCTCTCTCGTACATCCCAAATTCCCACCATTGACTAGGTGATCCCACATCCTCCCAAGACCCTTCTACAAGCATAGGAGGGATAGTGCCAGAGGGCCCAGGCTACTAGGTAATGACGATGATGTACCCTGTTACCCTTAATATCCCAACAAGGGATAGTTTGATTTGATTTATACTGAATACAGTAAAATCCTCACCCATTCAGGCTCTATTAACCTGAAGTGGGTGATAATTTGTATAGTCATTGTTTATTCCTCAAGTCATTTCTTCATAAATAGGATAAAGTTTCACAACACAGTTATGATCATAAAGATGATTAAAACATTTTAAAAAGATTTCAACTAAACTTACATGAAGCAACTACAGGCCGTCCCAAATAATGTATACACACTTTAACAGCTCAATTTTGAAAATGAACTGTATTTTAATAAACACTGACTTTATAATTATTCAAAGTGTCTGTGTACATTTTGGGGGACACCATATATATATATAATCATCTACTCTTTATAAGTAATTCTGTAATTTGTTTATTTCCTAAAAAGCTCTAATAGATAAGGCTCTGATCTACCTCCGGGGCTATAAGGAAACAACAGCAATAATCATGACAGCACATATTTATTAAAGCTATGACATCTTTTCTATACAATTGTGATGTGAAGAATCAAAAACTTAAAAGCAATTTTTAAGAAATTACATTATTGGATTTTTGGTAAAAACAAAAGCATCCATTC